GGGCTATTCTGTTACGCGTAACAGAATATTATTCTGTTACCCTTTTTGAACTGACGTGGTTCACAGTTTGGACTGACGTGTTTTTCAACAAGAACTGATCTTCCTGCGTGCACGACGGACGGAAACAGGGAATGCAACGTGGAGCTTCCGGTCATTCCCCGACGCGATGCTGCGGGCCATTCGTTGCTAGAGGAGACATGTAAGGGGTTCCGCACGTCCGCGCGCTCAGTTGGATGAGTTTTGCGATCTGTAGTCACCGGAGGTGACGACGTGGGCATTTTGGCGGCGGACGTGATTTTGGGCGTCAGTGTTTACTGTGGTGTTCGTGGGCCTCAATTTACGTCGTGTTTGTCGTTTTTGATGTGAGAATTATCGGTATGTTATAGTTTTTTGAGATTTTTTTCATCTGTAATTTATGATTACAAGTTTTTGTGTTCTTGGTCGTTTTCCACGCCCGCCATGGAAATCTGTTCTTCTTTTTCTATTGTTTTACTTTTGAATTGGTGTTGCAGGGAGAGATATAAGGACTGTATGAAAAGATTTGCGTTGTCAATTTTACTTTTTTGAGTTGTTTCTACCCTGGATTCCCATGTTGTTTTGTCATTGGCGGAGGTTGTGTATGGCGGCTGACTGTAAGCTGCGATTTCGGGTAATCTGGTCAAACTGTGTAATTAAGTTGCGTGTTTTTCAGTGTTGTTTTGAATTGATGCCCGTATGTGTAGTTGGACTGCTGCCGTGTCAAAGTTTTGTTATTGTGTGTTGACATGGGAGCCGCACCGATGGCTCTGCACTTTGATTATAAAGCCCGAGCCCTCTGTCAATTTCATTCTACGAGCTGCAACCAAAGAAAAGGGAGATGGATCCTGAGCTAGGAGAGGTTACAGAGGAGGAGGGGGACGCCATAGATGTTAGGGCTGCAGTAGCGGAGCAGAGGAGGAGGAGGCGCAGGCGCAGGCAGATGGCACGACGTGCTGCCGATGAGGAACTGGAGGCAGAGTTCAACAGACGACTTGCGCGTGAGGTGATGGATACTTGCAACTCCAATGAATTGGAGCTTCTTTTCCCAGAGGGCAGGGGAAGGAACCATATTCAGATCATTAGTTGGGCTAGGGCGAGAGCAGCCACGGCTCCACATCCATCCACCAGGGCAAAATGGCGTCGTTTCTTTGATCGTTATGACTGAAGTAGTGAATATTATGTTTTTAAT